TGGGCGCAGCGTAGGGCCCGGGGTGGTCAGCGTCGACGTGCCCGAGGGCTGCCGCCGGCAGGCAGGCAGGCAGGCGAGATGGCTCGTTATTCCGTGCCGCCTTAATGGGGGGGGGGGAAGGCCCGTGAGACGCGTCGCGAGCAGTTGTGCCGTTAAGTAGCTGTAGGAAAGACCGACGTCCTTACCGTTAGTGAATTTGAAACCGAATTCTACCAGGGCTCCGCTTTAAATAGTTAAAACTATTAGTGGTTGGGTCACTAGAGCTTATTTTCTTTCAAGCAGTGCATCAATCAGTTTCACCAAAGCTTACTTTCACTGTCATCTTGTTTATTTTCATACTGTTTTCTCCACACTGCCTTAAGGGTCAAGCTGAAGCAGGTAATCTCGGTTTGAGTGGTGAGGTAGTAGCATGCGGTGTCGTGTTTCCAAAGGCTTTTGCAAAATGACTGCAGCGTAATTAATATTTTGTTTTGTTTTAGCAAGCGTAACTTTGAGGTGGGGTGCAGGTGAAACTCACTCAAAACCAGGAGATTTTCTTTTTTAACTAAGCAATGTAACGATTTCTAAGCAGCTAATAGAGCATTTAAAACAAGAAACAATGATGCTTTTGTCTGGTTATATAAAGCATCACCACAGATTAGTGCAGTGGTGAGATTCTTGTTTTTTTCCATCCTCTGTCCAAATCCCTGAAGCTAAAATTACAGAGAGAGAAAACTGTTTTATTACCAGAGAGCTTGTTAGTGTATTTAAGTTACTTTATGATTAGGACTGTTGTTAGGGACTCCAAAAATGAAATTATTATTGTCTTGCCCACCTAGCTGAAAATCAGAAGACAAAATTTATAAAGTATTTTGGGAATATTTTAGCTCAGCATATTTTTTTCTCGCCCTGTTTGCCTCTAGTAAAATACTTGGTAAACAATTTATATTCCTAGTTAAGTATATTTGTATTAGTAAGATGCACTTCTAAAACTTCAGGTGTTTTGCAAAATAGTCATAGGAGCTATCGTGCTGTATTGGAAGAGGGATGGTATTTCTCTGATAACTGCTCATCCCAGGTGCTTTAAAATGGCATACTTAGTGGGAACATGTTATTTTGAAAAGTGTAAAGAAAAGTACATTTAAAAAAAAAAAAGTGCATGAAAACATTGCCAGTAGGGAGCTTCCCTCATAATCCCTAATAATTAGGTATATGTTTGCACTCTGACATGTTAAGTGGTTTATCTCCTCTTGGAAAACGCTCAACTACAATTGCATAGTGCAGAAGTTACTGGTAAAAATTGCTGATTCATTTTTATGAATGCCAGCAAACTTTTGATAAACATTTCCAGGCATTGTTGTATGACAGTGTCTTTCCCTTTGGTTTTATATTGTGCCCCCATAAAACAGTTGGCATATAAATTTTCAATTATTATCATTTGTTTGAAAGTTTTGGACTTAGCAGAGTGAAAGTTTACGTGGAATTCCATGAGCTGGTATGTGTTAGTGCTTAAAGAAAGCTTCTATCTTTTTGTTTCTACACTTAAGACAAAAACTGGACATCAGAAAGAGTGGGAAATACTTTCAAGAAATAATTTTTTATGTGGGTTTTTTTTTCCCTAACTGGAACATGTTTAAATACTCATCTTCAAACCAAAATATGGTAACAACTCTTAATATGTGTAAGACTCACTGTTTGTAGAGGAAACTGAAAACCTTCTTATGCAAAACCTTATGTTTTATGTGTGATTTCTCAATTTTGTATTACTATTAAAATTTATCACCTGGGATTTGGAGAATGCACTGATAAGTAATAGGGGGAAATGCTCATGTCCGTTACTAAACAGGATTTTTTTTTCTTTTTTTTAAGTGAGTTAGTGGATGGCTGAAAGTTAGCTTGACCATTGAGTTGCTGAAATGTTTTGCTGCTTGAGAGCCGTGAGAAGGTAAGGCATGTTGCTGACCTAATTTACCTTTCGCAGATGTTTATATGTTTGTTTATGACTTGCATATCTGTGAAACTGGTTTGGTATTTTTGTTTAATGCTTACTTCGTTGGCTTTCTCATCTCTACAGCTTGAAGCTTTCAACAGAGCATCCACAGTTGAAGATCCCCCAAAGCCATATGCTTGTCCTCGAGTGAGATATTAAAAAGGCTCTCAACAAAACAAGGGGTTTAAAATAGCTTAATTATGAGAAAGTGGTAGTCTAAATCTGAATATGATATGCAATATATTACTGCATTATTGAGTTATTAAAGCTCAGTGTTTCAAAATGAGTGACTATATCTGTAATAATGAGCTTAATTTAACAAAGATTTTCAGTGCCAACGCTATAAGCCAAAAAAGTTAAACGTCAGAGAGATGTAAAGAAAAAGCAGAAAGAAAGCTGGAGGGAATTATTTAATCAATAAATTAAATCTGTCCTAGAGTACGATTGCATAATGTGTTCTAGCGGAGATTGTGTTTCATATCTTTCATGAAGTGGAGACGGCTGTCCTCAAAGTGGTTATGACCTTGATTTTAACACAAAGACTTTCTCTGCTCTTCAAATCTGAATGAAGTTCTTGGAACGATCCTTGCTCCTTGTGAGCGAAGCCATAAGCATCTTTCTTGCATTTTCTTTCTCTAAATTCATTTTAATTCATTTATTTTGTCACTTCACTTGAAGGATGCCTCAGAGTTCTGTCTTTCACCTTCAGTGAATGAATTCTTCCTGCTGTCACACAGACTAATTTTGGCCTTTGAGCGTTTCTCTTTTAAGCAAGTTCAAAATAGACTTTTGGCTGGAATCCTGAGCCTTCCTGCTAGTGTGACAGTGTTGTTTAGATACAAAACAAGGGATCTGAAGTTAACCATACTTGGCCATTTTTCTTGTAGAATACCAGATGGAAGTTTATAATTAATAAACTTGGAAGTACAATTAATAGTTTCCAGGTGTGTTGGAACTTTTTTCCCTAACTACTGGAAACGGCATGCAATGTAGCTCGAGAGTGGATGTGGGAGATGGTGTACGAATAAGGTGAAGAGAGAACTGAGCTCCTTACTTCCTCCTGGCAGCTGGGTCTAGGAGGATGTGGGTTTCTTGCGTGGCTGTTAAATCAAAACTGCTATCAGATAGGTAGCTGGCTAATTTACTTTTTTTTTTGTTTGTAGGTAGCTGGCTAATTTACTTTTTTTTTTTCCTCCTTTGCTGGAAAGAACTTTTTTCCTTTTTACAGCTTTGTGTCCACTTGTTTCAGCAGGACAACTATTTTGGTGTTTCCGGATACAAAATGGTAAAGCATATGACCAAGTGGACTTTTATCCAGTGTGCTTTGCTTCCTTTCGTGCCAGGTCAGGTGGAGGCTTTTTCCTGCATCACTGAGCAACTCTGGCATGTTCTGGTGATTGCGAGCTTTTGCTCTCCATAAAAACATGATATTGCTGTGGTATTTCACCATCTCCTGCTGTTTTGAGTATGATCATGGGCTATGGTGATGACTAGTCTTAGAGTCCTTCTCAGATGCAGCCAGCAAGGAGGTAGAAGTGTTTGCCAGTAATACATTTTGTCTTTTTTTAATCTTCCATTTAATCCACACGCATGAAAATTGTTTTTAGTCATAACAGTTTGAAATTTCATTAGTTGTCTTACGTTACAGATTTTCTATTCCACTTTTCTACAAAAATGTCTCCTGTTTTCAGCAAACTGACTTTTAAGCTGACTTTTAAGACCTACTAATTAAATATTTGCCCGCCTCTTAGGCAGAAAACTAGCTTTAACTGCTTTCATGTTTCTAACTGAAGAGCTGGAAAGGTTTACAGAAAAAAGGTAAAGTTAAGGGTCATTGCATCTGCTTGACAACTCAACTGTTGCCATTTACTCCACCATTTGCCAAAATGAAAAATACTGCTTATTGTCTGAGCACAAATTTGGGGATTTTTTTTTTTTTTTTAATTAATGAAAGCAGTCAGGAAATAGTCTCACATGTTTCTGTGTCCAGGACAATTATTTGGTCTAGGATGCTGAACAAATAGCTCTTTGTAAAACAGTCTTGCTTACTATTATTAATGAACTTATTTTTTTTATGTGAATTGGAATCGGCTTTGCTTCCAATCTGCCATATATTTTCCTATTCAGGGCTTGCAGTTTGGATGAATGATACTGTGAGGAGTGAAACAGTATTGTATTGCTTAGCAGAGCAGAACCCCTACCTTTGAGTTGCAAACTAAAATGAACATTAATCACAGAGAAAATGTTGGGACCGTTGAATTTGTTAGCCTGTGAGATCAGCTAAAGGAAAAATCTGTTATTAAATATTTACCAATTCACGTTTTCTTGCCACTTTTACATAGACCGTCTCTTGGTAATTAGTTTGCTAACCTGAATATCAGCTTTGAATTATGACAGGAAATTTTGGTGGTCTTTAATTCAGAACTTGTTTTTCCTTCCATTTCAGTCTTTTGTTACACAAGCGTGCTCTTTGCAGAACTGTTAATTTGTGCATAATTGGAGGTATTCAATCTTTTTTATTTTCTGAACTTCCTAGAACTTCTTCAGCTTAACTTTTCCTTCTGATCTTAGGTGAAACAATCTTCTTTTCCTACCACTGAAATTTCTTTTAGTCCTTTTCTTCTTTCAGTGAAGATCAAAGGGCAAAAAAGTGCTGTCTTTTTACTTGATGTCTTCTATAAAAGAGTATGTTTGGGAAAGTAATTTTTTTTTAAATGGGCACACGTATGTGGACCTCAGAAACTAATGCAGAACTTCTTTTGATTGAATTGTGATTATTACTCCCGGGTAAAATTTAATGTTCTTCTGCACTGCTTGAAAAATACTAGGTTTGGCTTTTTAACTTGGAGGTTCAAAAGTATGTAAGGGTTGGCTTTTAAGAGCAGCTTCAGCAATAGCTACAAAAAATACCACTAAAGCCAGTCTTTATCATTCGAACTACTTGACTAGGGAATTTTTATTTGAGCCTGCTTTGAGAAAGTAGAGGAAAAATTTATTGTACTTATTTACATGTCTTTAATCAGCCATTAGCATCCACCATCTCTTGAACCTGTTGGATTTGCTCCATATAAATACAGCTTTGTGAGTCCCAAGAGGAAAAATCCAGCACTCGGACTTCTAATACCGGTTTTAAATGATTGTATTTGCAACTGTGAATGTTTCCTCCATTCGGTCACATTCTAATGTAATTTATATCAGTTTGTCATTTGATTGGTTGCATCATGCATAAACGTTCTGTTACTCTATTAGGTTATGTCTGGAGAAGATACTGTTACAATGTATTCTTCAGTCAAGAACTTTGTCAGGAGCTGATGCCATCAATGCTCTCAGACCTTTCTATTTTGCTGTGCATCCAGATTTCTTTGGCCAGCATCCCAAAGAGAGGGTAAAAATCTTCTTGTGTGCTTTCTTTGTAAATGTGTCATATATCAAGGATGGAAATTTTCTAGTTTTCCTGCTGTCAGAGAAACAAAAGTAGTATTAGAATTTAATATCTTTGTTACCAGAGAACAAAAAGATGCACTTTCTTTATTTTTAACAAGGATAGATCCCTCAAACATTCATTATTTATTAGTCATATATTCTGTTTAATTGTTATAAAGAAAATACCGAATCCTTCTAGTCTAATTTATAATACATATTACTTGCTTTATCACTTTGAAATGCTGTGCATTATATTTGAATCAATTGATTTCTTTAAGCTTGAAAGCCCTAGAAGTGGTGTTTTGGAATGTACAAGTATGTACATCATACAGTTTATTCATGTAAGATAATTATTCATTTATGCTGAGAATATGAACTATATCACTCCTTGTTAAGAGCAGCTGGCAGTTTGTAAAAACTTAATTCTGCATGTAAGATTAAAAAGGTTTAGATGAAAAAATGGCCAAATTCATCATCTGTAATGTGTTTTGGTTTTTTCTTTTTTTTAAACAGGAAGTAAATGAAAACTCTCTGAAGAGGTTAAATGGCTACTTGGAGAATCTACAGAAACCAGGATTTCGCTCCTTTAAGCCAACTCAGCTTACTTTTTATGTAAGAGAAAGAGAACGAAACTCTTCTAATGTTCAAGAATCCTTCAGTGCTTCAGGTGCTTTTATATCGTGCAGAATGTATCTTCCTGTATTTAAATTCTTTCAGACCATCACTTAGCCTTGTGATAATGAGTTTTCAACTGAAAAAAATCCTGTCAAACCATGAAAGTATGTATTAGATAGACAGCTAGGACCATCCCAAGTAATTAAACATCCTAAGCTTTAAAAAGCATTGAAAGAATCAGAAATTACAAAGTTGAGGTCAAGTCACAGTATGAGGAAGTAAAAAACATAGGTTGAGGTAAATGATAATTTTTCTGCTTTTAATATCGTTGTCATGTTTACCTGGGGCAACAGTTGGGTCCTTGTTTTCATTGCAGATAATGTGCAGTACATGATGTCAGGGTGTTTGTAGGATCAGTAGGAACTTGCTCTGTAAGCAGAAGTTGTATAATATCTGAAGCTTCAATTTACCATGTTGTCTCTTAGCTTTGAGACTACAGAAAATATTGCCGAGTTTGGAATGTTGGTTTTGATGAATTTTATTCTACGTATTTGTCTCTGATGTACCAGTATGCCTTATCTAACAGATGAGTTTTATGTTCTATATCCTGCTAGTCAAAACACTTGAGCAAATTGTGAGGGACCCTAGTGCTAGAAAACAATCATACTGTTTTTCAAGAAAATAGTAGTGTTATGTCCAGTCTACTTAAAAACTGGTGGCTGTGTTCTGCTCTTGAGCCTAATACTTGCTTGCTTTCTAATGGGGCAGTTAGGCCCAATAGCTAAGTGATGGGACTTAGTTTTAGCCAGTGTGCAAGTGTAGTGTTTTGTTCTGAAGCTTCTGTTCATAGCCTGTGAAGAGCTGTTGTAGCGCTGCGTTTCTACAGTAAATTACATCCAAAGTGATGATCAGTAACAATGTGAATTGTGTAGAGCTGTCGGACAAAAGTGCCACTGTTAAAGCGAAAGCATCCTTTTTTGGGTTATGCTGCATCTGTAGCTAGGTTTTCAATTTGTCCAATGATTCAGATAGTTAAAACAGCTCCATTTATATTTTTGGACACATAACAGTTTTAAAGGTTAAACTGCACATGAATTTTGCAGTGAGAATTGAAATAACTATCACAGTAATTTCTGACTATGTACGCCTTGTTTGGGTTCTTGTAAGATGAGAGAATAGTGAATGAATTTTAAATAATTTTAATTAAATAATACTAATTTTGTGGGGCCTGTATTTTACAGGGTTTCGAGCAGTCAGTTTTACATTACATACTAGGGATCTCCTGAGCACAGTATTAGATATTCTCAACTCCTGCAGTTTATCTACGGAGCATATTCAAAGTTTGAATGTGAACTCTCAGCCCCACAAGGAAGCAAGAAGCACAGTGAACAGACCTATCAAATGGGATAAGACTTATTATTCATTTACTGGATTCAAGGATCCTGAGGAGGAACTAGAACAAGCCCAGAGAGTGGAAACAACTTTAATGTAAGGCTTTTATTTAACTGATATTTTGTAACCTGAATTGGTCTTATTCTAATGCTGAGTTTTTTTAAAGGCAATCAATAAACATTCTGAACAATACAAAACTTTATTGTACAACATGTAATTCTGTCACGCTTTTTATAATTAAAGAGAGTTCAAATGAGCTCCTGGGGTAACTATAGTTATAGTTATAGCTGAGGCATTCTTGTCTCTTTGCCCAGCATTCATGTTTGGTCAATCTAGTTTTGGTTGATCTAGTTTTTCAGTTTTGTGGAACATTGGCGGCGATTCAGAAGGAGGCAGAGGTTCCACTTGCTCCAAATAGCTCCTTGCCTCTTACAGGACTTCTGTAACACAAAACTATACGGCTATTAACTTCACTGTTAGTATTTCATTATCACATTCTGTTGGGGATGGGAGATAATACAATAAAAGATAGAAAACTAAGGTTAGAATGTTTTAATTTGCCAGATATCTTAGTGTTGTGCTTCTGATTTGTTGTTCAGCATACCAACCTTAATATTTAAATTGAGGCAATTATAAATGCTGAACTTGCATTAAATGCAGCATGTTGTGTATTAGAAGTTGGTTGTTCATAAAATCTGTATGTGCTCATTTTGCGGAACGGTGAAAAATACTGCCTTCAAAAACTTTGTAACAATGAGACTTAGGTGCCATTTGAAATAAATGCGGAACTGTGGTGGTTGTATCTTCAGAGCAAAGAATACCCCTCATCCTGCCTAGCACCTCGCAAATAAAACTACTATAATATATGCTACTGTAAAACTCTTAACTGATATTTAACATACTAGAGAATATTTTTACTTATTTTTACACATTTACAAGAAATGCCATGAACAGTTACGTATTAACAGTCTGGTTTTAATACCTAGCCATTTGGCATTGGGCCTCTCTTTTTGCTTCTGAGTTTGGATTTTTTCGCTTAGAATATAGTATGAGTATGGAAGTATTTGTAAAAATAAGAGTGTAAAAATAAGCTTGTAAGAGTGTAAAAATGCTATGAACAAAGGCTAAATCTCTTAAAGAGTAGCTTTTTCCTAGAAATAGAATGATCTATTTATTGAAAGTTTTAGATGTACTCCGTAAGTCATGTTTGCCTGGTTGTGATTATTGACAAAAGAACTGTAAAACTTTGACCTGCTTAATCTATGTTCATCCCAGCTCTGTAAGAGTTACCTAACTTAGCCCTTTAGTACCTCCTCCCTTATTTGATAATATACTATGATAACTTTGGTGGTTGTTTTTTTTTTTTTTTTTAAAGGCAGATGTGTGGGAACTTCTTTCATTAAAGCACTAAATTCTGAAGCTGCTCTCCTAAATCATACTAATCTGCTGCTCTCCGCCTTTTGCACCTCTAAGTCTTAACAGTTGTAACACTGTCAGTGTCTTTTGGTTCAATTTGATTCCCTAGTCCCCCCCCAAAGACACATTAAGCGCCAGGTTTTCCTTTGTAGATATCTTAAGGTGAAGCATTTAGCAATTTCAGTTTCTGTCATCTACTTTTAAAAAATCCATTTACCTGGTAACTTGAAATTAAATGTTAATGTTAACAGTAAGAATTCAGTTAGTTGTACTATTTGCATGAAAGATAATGCAGCACACCTCTACTGTTGGGGTTTTTTCCTCCTATTCTTTCAGATCCTGGCTAGATGATAATGAAGCAAGTGCAGTAAAAAAGCTGAAAAAGAGTTTGCCGCTTAGAAAAGAATTAGAACGTTTAAAATTTGAACTCTCTCATCAACTCCAGCTCTCGGATATCAGGTAATAAATTAGATCAGTTGGACTTGCATTAAGACAGTCAAAGCAAGGAGGTGTTGTGTAATGCTACGCCATGAGCTTTAAAGGCTTATTCCAACAAAACAGCTGTATTCCATACATGTAAAAATGTTATTGCACTGAACAATATTTTTCTGGAAGAATTCTATTGGGACAAAAATTTACTGTTACAATCTGCTCAAAAAGACCTAGTATTTGTAACTAATAACGTAGGCTCCATAAGGAGGCAAACACATAAACACTTGAAATAGGACCTGTGCATATGTGTTAAGTTTGGGTGTTTTGCTGGATAAAATTGCTCTTCCTGAATTCAAGGGACTATCTACAAAGGTAACTAGATTGGCAGTGAAATGCAACTTTGCACAAGGTACATATTGACATCCCGCGAAGACTTAATAAAAACATTGTTCTTTCTAGTGTCTTGTTTCCCACGCTCCAGAGGAGGAGGATATTTGTTTGCTTGAAAGGGCTGAGTACAGTTGGTGATCTTGATTCTTCAGAATGTTTTCCAGAAAATAATTTATGATCCTTTTTTAAATTTTGTGCCTTTGAACGAGGATGTTCTGAAGTGGGATATTCAGGATGGGGAAAATGGCAGTGAGGGTATTCAACAATGAAAAAATAAACTTTGGGGGATTATTTCAAGGGCTAGTCTGTTAAATTCTTTTAACCAGGAAAGAGAGTCGGAGCTTCTGAAATCGTTCTTTTGTTCCTTTCACCCTGTAAAAGACCCTGGCTTCCTTTAAGCTGAAGCCAATTTTTTTGAACACAATTTCTAATCCTCTGCAACTGTGCTGTGGTGGGGGTTTTTAAGTTTCTGAAACAGTCTTCAGCATTAAATGCGTAGGTTTGGTTTTATTCATGGCTTATACTTAATTTTCTTACAGTTTGTGCTTTTAAAATACACTAAAACTATTGTTCCATGAAGAGTTACTAACCTTTCAAGAGTTATATTGTCATAATTCAGAAAAGAATGTGAGTGTCAGAAATCTGACAGGTATCTTAATAGGTAACTGCTACTTGTGATCCTGCAGCCTAATGCTAGTGTTCACAGAGGTTTGAAAAAATAACGGGGTCGTTGGCTTTATTCCACGTATAAGTTTAGGACAGCTGAAGAGAAGGTAGGATCTATAAGCTACCTTTTTACATTCCTGTCTGGTGCTGCTGAAAGCGAAGTGATATTGCTAGGTAACAGTAAATAGTTACTAGAATGACTTGCAGTATAATAGATTGAATTGCCTCATAAGTGCTGTGGCATAGTGCCATTCTCTGCATCCCAAAGAGTGGGTTTTTGCCAGTTAGGTTTCCCTAAATGAGATGATGTGGGTTGACCCCAGCCAGCAGCTAAGCACCCACAGACCCGCTCGCTTGTACACCCCCTGCGGGATGGGAAGAAGAGAACAGGAAGAGTAAAAGTAAGAAAACTCATGGATCAAGGTAGAGGTTTAATAGGTGAAGTGAAGCAAAGCTGTGCATTCAGGCAAAGCAAAAGGAGGAATTCATTCACTATTCCCCATTGGCAGGCAGGTGTTTAGCCCCTTCTGGAGAGCAGGGCCTCAGCATGTGTAATGCTTGCTTGGGAAGACAAGCGCCATAACCACGAGGGTCCCCCCTTCCTCCTCCTTTCCCTGAGCATTTACTGCTGAGCGTGACATCATATGGTCTGGAATATCCTTTTGGTCAGTTGGAGTCACCTGTCCTGGCTGTGTCCCCTCCCAGCTTCTTGCCCACCCCAGCCTACTCGCTGATGGAGGGGGGCAGCGTGGGAAGAAAAAGCGAAAACCCGGACACTGTGCCAGCACTGCACGATAGCCAAAACAGTGGTGTGTTATCAACACTGTTTTAGTAAAAAATACAAAACACAGGGCTGCTACGGGGAAAATTTAACTCCATCCCAGACAGATCCAGTGCAATAAGGGAATGTTAATTTCCCATTTTGAGACAGTTTTATATCAGCTAGAAGTTTGTAAAAGCATGTAATTTTTCAATACACTGGGACAACTTTACAATTTAAATGCTTTTTGAAATTTAGTTAGGAGTTTGATCTGTCTGTGGTGGAAGAGATGTCAAAATTGTTTGTTAAAGTCACCCAGGTAACACCTGGCTCCTGTATGGTTTAACAAATATTATTCCACTGTAAAATATTGATTTTTATATATATAGCAACTTACCACTGGAATCATAGTAATGTTTTGGACTAGGAACTCAAAAGAAAAAAAAAAGAGACAATGTCCCTAAATACAGTATTTGTTCTTCTAGACAAACATTACACAGTGTACAAACAGAAACTGCATGCCACATGACTGAACCAAATACTGGGTTTGTTGCTATTTACTTACTAACCCCCTTCTTACTGGGGGAGAGATTTGCAAGTTCTGTTCTGTCTAGCAGGTTTTATATTTATTTTTCCTATATCTGGTTGTATTCCTTTTTTTTTTTTTGGCACTCACTTTAAATAAAATTTCAGTGTCTTTCTTAGGCTTTTTAGCTGTTCAAATAGCGTATCACATGGACAGCTTTTCAGTAGGCTTTTGCTTTTATTACTGTTAGAGTGCTATTTTGTTTGAGTTGTTTGTGTTACAAGGCTTTCACCTGCTTCTCAACTTCTGTGATTTTTTTTTTTTTAATAATGTTGAGGATGAAATGCTTTCAATTATATTTTTATTTAGGTGGCAGAGAAGCTGGGGTATTGCTCACCGCTGTAGCCAACTACACAGTCTAGGTCGCTTAGTCCAACAGAGACCTGAAGTATTAAAGAATGTTAAAGGTATTTCTGTTGCTTGTTTCATATATCCTAATATAGTATTGATTTGAAGATGAGCAGGAGTCTTCTGTGGCAAGGGAGCTCTAGTTCTTTTCATGAATGCTTTTGATAACTGCAAAAACAACCCTGCTGGGCTTACTGAAAAGCTGGTGAGAACTTAAATTTTAAGCTACTGGGTATTTTTTAAAGTGACCTTTTCTTATAGTGTATTCGCTACACTCAGCTTCTATTTTACTTCTTAATAATTGCAAACTGAGTGAGTGAAAGGCACTAGACTTAGTACTAACAATGAAAGTAAAAAAAATCCAGACTGAACCTCTGAAAGGGTGGAGGTAGTAATAGATTGTTACCCGTGGTAGATTCAAGACAAAAATGCAAGTAGCTCTCTAAAGAGTCAATATAAGGAGGACTTACTAGAATACCTTTAAAATTGTATTGTCTTCTCTTACCATACATGTTCCATAAAATACCTATATTAAAGTCTGTATTTTCTCAGGAAAAACTAAAATATTCTGTAAACCTGACCTACCATTCTTCTCATACAGCTGTTTGACCTGTGGCAGTATCTGTTTCCTCTAATTGTAACTCCACATTTTATGCCTGTCTGCAGATGCTCTGTTTTGAGTGGCTTTCATTTGAGGGTTCACCTAATCCTTTGTCAAAAGACAGAGTGGGTAGGACAATAAGTAGTAGTTTTAAATTGTATCAGGTTTCAAATTAGTTTTTTTACCTAAGCATGCTAAGGATTTAAAGTGCTAGAGAAGTCTGTCTTGTGAACCTGTTGTAGTTTCCATCTTTGAAGATCTTTAATAATATACTGGACAAATACCTGTCAGTAATTATACAGGTACAGTTGATCTTGCCTTGGGGTACAAGGATGGACTAGATGCCTTAAAGTCAGCGTTGCTCTTTCTTAAGCATTTTGGAAAACTGCTTGCTGAGAGCAAGAGCTTCTATTCAAGCCTTGTCTTGTAGATTAATTCATCGCACTGAAGACTTTTGTGGAAGCTTATTTTGATGCATAGTTGCCTGTGCTTTTAGCCTAAAGAATTCTTGAGGATCTTTGTACTTCACTGAAAAAAACATACTCAGACTCAAAACTGATTTGTCCCCCCAAAAGTAAACCTAGTATTATCCTTTTATGTTGTTTCTATTCTTTCTTTAAAAAAAGAGCAAAAAGCTAATGTGAAAGCGTTTCTTACAGCTTGCATGTTGCAGAGAGTTCTGTGGAAATAGTGTTGAATGGCTGTGCTAATGGTTCTTTGACCAACCTTTACCTTATTTATATATACTTTAAGCGTATAGCAAATAATTCCTACTGTATACAGGATTTGTACAGGTTCTTTGAATATGCTGTCTGCTGAGATTTTCTCTTATTTTAAAAGTAGTCTTTGTAAGGAAAAAAGTCCAGTTAACTAAAAATCTATCAAGTTTAAACAGGGAGAAGGCAAATGCTAAGTAAGGTTTGTATGAAAAAAATTCTTGAACTGGAGTTTTCAAGAATACTCTTTCAAATTTTGAGAATAACGAAAGCACCTACTCGTGTGTGTGCATGCTGCAGAAATGTGTTGCTTGTAACATGTTACTGGCATAGTTAAGCCTTAAATAATTGTGGGAATGATTGCAATAACCCAAATTAGTAAAGAGCTTTGTTCAATCTTTAGGACGCACAGTGGTATTTACAGACCGTTCAGGTATGAGTGCAGCAGGTCACATAATGCTCGGGACCATGGATGTTCACCATCACTGGACCAAAGTAAGAAGATTTTAAAGTAAATGATAATGCCTCTTGTTATAACATCCTTTTTTAAACTATAACCAAAATATTAATTGGTGCAGATAACTGATGAGTAATATAAAGCATAGCTACTATGTTTAGCATAACCATGTACATTGCGTTCTAAATTTAATCCTGTGATATACTGTTACTAACAACAATCTTTGTCAGATCTTTACTGCTGCTTTCACTAACAAATCAGTCCTACCCCTGATTAGATATAAAGAAAACTGATTTGTTCTGCAGTGTTCCAGTCTGTGCAATGAGCACTGGCAGAATATTTCATGATCCATAAAGAGCTTATTCCTATGAAGAATTTAGGAATTTTATTCAGATTTTTTGTAAAAATGGGACTTCAAGGGAGTTTTGAAGTGATCATTTCAGTTAATGGCTGCTAACCAACCCTGTAACTCCACTTTGTTCTTTTAGGCAGATAACGTGGATGTTGTAGAAATTTATCTTTAGTGACTGTGCGAATTCTGCTGCTGCTTGTGTAAAGTTCGGAGTTGACAAGCTTTCTGGCATCCTAAATGATAGTCTTATATGAGAAGGACCACAAATAAAATATGTAGTGATATCAGCACGTCACTTAAGGAAATTTTCTTGAATCTTGGTTGCTGAAATATTATTGATAGTTCTATCAAAAAATATTTCTTTGTAAAGGAAATAATTGGTGGAATTTCATAGTTGGGAATTTCATCCAGCTGGCATATCAGAATATTCTATTTCTGTATTCCAGTCAATGAATAATACGAAAATTGAGCACTCAATCCAAAGCTTTCTCTGGTGGTGGTTTGAATTTTTGCCTGTATGTTTCACTGAGGGAGAAAACAAACTGTGGTTTGTTAATGTGAATGATTTACAAAGAACTTAAACTGAGAAACTAGAATTTAATGCAAAACTTTCTACTCCAAGATTTGAGAGTGTTGATAGTCATTGGAATAAAAGTGTTCTTCTGATTATACTAAAATAAACACTGTCTTCCTTGAAAAGAGAAATGATTCCTCTTTCTAACCTTTGCCAGGGGGGTTTCTGAACGGGTCATATATCTGCACAAAGTATTGTGCAGATGGGACAATGTGTGTAGTTAGTCGTGGTGATGGTATTTGCTTTGGAAGGTAAAGGAGAGGTATGTATTTGGACCTGAAATCAAAGGCTTTTTATTTTAAAATGCACTGAAGATCATGTTAAATGATACAGAAAAAGTCAGTGACAATCTTCGTGAGGTTGGTTAGCCGCTTGGTTTTTAGAGAACAGAATTTTTTGTCCAATTCTAACCCATTTTAGAAAGCAGTCCTAAGTGCTATTACTTTTGTTACTAATTACTAGAAAAAGGAAGCAGTAGAATAGTGTCCAAGTCAGTCTGTAGAATGCTTGGTCAGAGGTACAATACTTAGAGAAAAACTGCAAAAATCCTCTGTAACAAATGCAAATGCTGAACCAATGGATTTTATTGTGCCAAAAGCTGTTCTGATTCTACTACTCTCTTGGGTTTCTAAAGAGATTATTCTGAAATCACTTGACTTGTTCCAGCAGCAGTATTTTTTTGTATGGAAAACTGTGTTATAGTAATAACTGGGTAGATGGTAAGTAGTGACTGCTACTACAGACTTTCTCTTTTCACTTGTTGCCCTGTTCCAGCCTTCTCCCTATCACACCTTCTATGTCTCGACTCACAAGTCTGATCATTTCTTAACCTTTTCTGGTATAAGTTTTGTAGATTAGAGATCTGGTACCTTCCTCCTTTCTCCTCTCCCTTCAGACTCAAGATGAGCTAGGTTATCATCCAAACCCTTGGAAAGAACTAGTTCCGGCAACAGAGACTTCTCTTTTTTTGAGAATTGGTGTAAATTAGGCTGGCAAAAACACTTTTGACTGTATGTGGAATAGCTCTACCACTGTAACTGTGGTGATAAACATCTTATGTAGACCTCAGATTATAATTTTTTTTTTTATCTGGGACTATTAATTTCTGTATATATAGAGAAAGAGGACATCCATCAATCTTGTTATGGGCTTTTGGTGCCTTTATAGTATAAATACTGAAAATACTTACAAGCTTATTCCATTATATCTTGCCCCAAAATGTATATACTTGGTATTTCTGATTTCTGGTATTCTTTGATTCCCCTCACCCCCCACCCCTCCTTGGGTTCCATGTTTGCATTGTTAAGTGTCTCTTCTTTTATAGTTTCTTGTTATTTTTTTCATTTCTTAAAACTAAGTTTTATGCTTTGTAACAGGAAGTGTTTGTTTGTGTATGTGCACAGATTTTTGAGAGATTGCCAAATTATTATAAACTTCAAAAAAGGCTGCTGTTCTTGGAAGATCGGATAAGCCAACTTCTGGGAGGCATACAAGTAATATATATTGAAGAACTGCAACCCCTGTTGACTCTAGAAGAGTACTATGAGACTCTGGACTCTTTCTATAATAAATTACGTGACAGTAGACTACTTTTTCATCCTCGTAGTCTGCGAGGCTTGCAGATGATTCTGGAAAGGTAGGTATTTGCAGGTATTGCAGTTTCTTCCTTTTAGAGCTTTTGCTCTTTTTTTTGGTTTTTTTGTTACACTGATTATTGTTCTCACTAAGAAGAGAACTAATATAATCTCGGATTTTCATTGTGTTGAACTCTTTCTGTTTCTAAAGGTTTTAAGTCCCTTTTTATGGGTTAAGAAGGAATCAGATTGAAGAAAATCCTGCTTACTTTCATTCAAGTTAGATTCAAAATTCTGTCTTTATCTTAGTGTTGTGCTGGGTTAAATCAAAGGTTTTGTGCTGTCAGGTCAACACTCAGCTGTGTATGATGGTGCTGCTGTTTATATTTTTTTAGTGTTGTTGGCAGTTGCTTTTGAAACGTAATTTTAAAAAAGCTTTATGTATGATGCTTCTGTTTTCTCATGAACCAAACTTGATTCATTTTTTACCAATTATTCTTATTGTGATTAATTGATGCTCTTTTATCTGCAGAGTTAATACTGAAAGTAATTCATGTCAATACTTGCGTTAAAAAAGATACCTTGTTTTTTACTTCCATCATGTTTCATTAGTGACAGATATGCACCAAGCTTACATGAATTTGGACACTTTACGATCCCAACGGTCTGTGATCCAGCAACCCTTCAATGGTTTATTTTTGCCAAAGCGCAGGAAGCAAGAGAGAATCTGAAAAGAAAGGAGGAGTAAGTGTTCGTGTAACTTGATACATTTAGCTCATGAAAATCTTTACATGTCATATGTTTTATTTGTAGGAGGAGAACTTTGAAGAATGTGTTCATGCTCTTTTGGTGGAAACAAAACTTCTGTTTATGAAATAGAACTTTACCCATCAGCTTTACTGAGTCAAAAATTTCAGTGTTCAGTGAAAACAGTTGTTAGAAATTACCCATCCTCCACCTTGTAGAAACAGTTGTACTTTACTCAGAAATAAAAGATCTTTGCTTACAAGACAAAATTACATCTTTTTTTTTTTTACAATTACTTCCCCAAAGGAGAGGTGGTTTTTTTTTTTAAGGAGGAGATCTTTTTATTGAATAAGAAAAGCAACAAACTTCTATTAATGTTACTTACATTGTGACAAGAAAGCAGTAAGATCTAAACTAAAAATAACTGAGACTGACTAAAGAATTATGATTTCTAGTTGTTTGTCAGTTAGTTGAGGAAAAGATTAGTTAGCACCTAACAAGGGGAAGGAAAAAAATTGGGATAGAATGATGAGAGAAATACCTCCTTGGTACTCTTTCACAGATGGGAGTGAGATGAGAGAGATGACAATAGTCATAGTACTTTACTTAATATTAAGTCCATGACTTGTGTTATCCATCAGAACTGTAAATTTTGTTCTTGACCTTGTATGTGTCTTTGAGGATTAAGAGCATGAAGTAGAGATACTGGTTTTATTTTGAATAAAACACTGTGATAAGTAACTGGGTGTTACTGTCCTTTTAGAGGTTGTTACTGCAAGTTTATTTTTCTGCTTTGGAAAGCTTTTAATGAATTGTTGAAATATCACATTGTCATGAGTGTATACGTGATAAATCCAGAAATTTTTTTTGTGAAGGCTGTTTTAGGCATGAGTCTTGCTGAAGGCTTTATGGTTTTAGCTCTTAAGACCTGATTACTGGGGAGGATATATTTTGGAGATGGACTTGGAGTTTTACTTTACTCCAGTAAAACATGGAGGTTTGGAATTTTTCTGTAACACTAGTCCAGCTTTGAAGTTAGATTATTTTTGCCTTATGAGTTATAACTGCTGAATAGCTCTCTATGTAGCTGTCCATATGTGACAGCTGAGAAAGTATTGTCTGTAGAGGTTGGGAGGGATGTTGTAGCAAATGTATGCATTTGCATCTGGGTAACTCACTCTCCAAAAAACCTCACTCTACCCGACGTTATAAAGACACTAATCCAGGAAAAATGTGGGGCTCCCCTCAGAGTATAAGCAGCTGTGTTGTAAGAATGTAAGAGCCAAGCTACGTATCTCAGCTCTTCTGTTGTGGGTTGGGTGATTGCTGGTTTGTGTAAAATAGTAAAGAACACTATACTGCATCATATCAAAGGTCTGTCCCCATCATCTATTAGCTTACGGAAAGGCTGTATGAATGGCAAAAAAAAATGCGGTGGGTTTTTTTACTCTGTACTCCTTCCCAGTTTGACTGACTGCACTTGAGAAAATACTTGAAACTGGAAACATTATCTCATGTTAAGAGCGTTCAGTAGTTTAGTAGATCTTCTTTTTTTCCCGCTCTTAATTGTCTAATTATTTTTTGAGCCGACTTACACTTTGTGGCTCCAAAATATCCCGTAGCAGCAAATTGCATAGTTGAATTACATGTAGCATGTGTGTATGAAGGAGGGAAGAGGTGTTCTTTATTTTATAGATCCACAGCCTGATGACTTCATTTGTCATTCTCTAGTTCTTGTGCTGTAGGAAATACAAAACAGTCATTCTGTATTTATCACCTCTACTTTTTTTGTGGATATGTCCTATTTCCCCTTAGTTGTATTTTTATTGAAGCTGAAAACTCCTTTTCCACTCAATGGTTCCTTGAACAGAACCCAATCTGTACTTCTGATTTTCCTTAGCCTCCTGTGGTTCTTAAAAGGGCCCTGAGATAAAGGAAAATATTTTGAGATGTACTGGATTTACTCTGCGCATGCAGATGAATGTTTTGCATGCAGTAAATAGCATAGTGTAGCTGGAATTTTGTATGACCTGATGCACTGCGGGGTTCAAACACTGCTGCTCTAAAAAATTGTCTTATCTGTGTGGATAATGTCAGTCTTCTAGTAATGCAGGGTTTAGTATGAATCTACTTCTCCCCTTGCTTTTCTAAAGTATCAGTTTTGTATTGTGATAGAGTTGTAAGCCTCCTTGTGGAAGTGACTAAAAATAAACCTGCAGTTCTCACGATGTGCAGCTAACTTTATATCCTTCAGGGGAGCCTGAGGTTACACAGGACAGGAAAGCTTGGTGCTCAGGTATTAGAGAATGTGCTCAGGAGGGTGGCACAGATATGGTCAGTAGAGAGGGCAGGCTTGCTCCAGGTTAACTCACTGGCTCAGTTCGTCCCTGACTGCCAGAGCTGGTCTGGGCTCTTGTACAGCGTTCTGAGTGCCTCAGCAGAGCGTAGTGCCGTGCAAGTACACAGAGATTCCTTGCTGAGCTCTGGAAAGAGTGATGTTGAGCCCTTACAGTAGTGTTTTCATGTGAGTCAAATAGTCTCAGTAGCTGTGTCCGTGCGTAGCTTGGGCTGATGATTCACATCCCGGCTCTGCAAATGTGCTGCTGCTTTGTAGCTCCTCCCTTGATTAGCCCAGTGTGTGTTGTAGGGCAGCAGTGGTGCTGTTTCTATAACCAAGCTGGCTCTGGAAGTATACGTGTGATGATGTGGCACAGTGCCTGAGCTAGTAAGGCTTGCTGAACCTGAACTGTCTCTGCATTAGATGATCAGTCACAGTTCCAGTGAGAATTAATTCTGCACATTAACTTTATTTCTGAGTAGCTTGAGTTTGCCATGTGTTGTCTTATCACTTTTTGTCTAGGGTGAATGGAAAAAATCATCTGCAAGCTATGAATTTCATATTCATAGAATCATAGAATCATTTAGGTTGGAAAAGAGCTTTAAGATCGTTGAGCCCAACCAAATCTATATACTTCTGCATTTATTAAGTTATTAACGCATTTAATATGCATCAGGTGACTGTACCCGTCATCTGTTGTTTTTGATGATGTGCAGACCACTGGTCTTAGTTAAGAAGACAGAGTAGTTATTAACATGATTTTATTCTTAACGCTTACACTTTCAAGGTTATTTAAGTACTTTTCATCCCTTACATTAAAAATGAAGCCTCATAGGATTTTTATTTTGGTATTTTTTTCCCTGTTACCTGGTGAGCAAAAAAAACCATCATGGTGGAGGCTTTCAAATGTGACTCTGTAGGCAGGCTGTTGCCCATAATCGTGGAAGCATGTTCAGTCTAGCCTCTGAGGTAGACATAGGTGTCAACCTGCACAAAAATCTCAGCTGTACCGTAGCTGTACCTGAAGTGACACCTTTGTTTACATGCGTATAACCTACAAATACACTTATTTCAAGGGTTTTTTTCAGAGATTAAGTCCTAATTTTGTCACTGTATGTTGTCTTCATTTGCTAGGATGATGATTTCGGAAAAAGAGCTAATCGATACTTCCACTGAAAAATTTTCTTTGGATCGGCTGTATAAGGAACCAAGTGTTTCCAGTGCACAGATGATAGATTGTTGTAAGCGACTGCTAGAAGAATCGTTGCCATACCTACAAGGCATGCACCTTTGCATTTCGCATTTCTACTCTGTGCTGCAGGATGGAGACCTCTGTATACCTTGGAACTGGAAAAACTGAGGACATATCTGATAATCAGATGAATTGTTTATTTTCTGTAAGAGGCTATAAATATGAATGTTTTTAAGAATAAATTATTTAAACCTGTATTTTGATATCGGTATTCAACCCACAAATTTTCTTCTAACTGCTGCTCAGAAAGGATTGGAGTCCTAGACAATTTGCACAATGCACAGTATTGCCAGTTCTGGGAAGGACATCTGTACATTCTCCATACTACTGTAGGAGTCCCAGTGTATGGTAGCAGTTGTGAAACCGCATTTTTGTAGTAATTATGAAAATACATTAAATTGCAAGTCTGCAAAAATGTGCATGTGTATTTTTAATATACATGAATATTGCCAGATAGATGATCTTAAAGAGTGTACTACTCAAACCAGACGTTGCATGTTATCTTAAGGGATTCACTGAACGCAGAAGTTGAGTACCTAAGTTATCTGGTGGCAATATTGGCATTTCACGTTGCTACCTATTAGTGAATTTAAAAAAAAAAAAAGACAAGGGAAAAAACACCAGAGTAATTTCTACTTTGCCGAAGAAAGCAGTACATTAACTTGGTCTCTACAGTAGAGTGTCATATGCTGGTCCAATATTGTTGCCTTAGAATTTCAAAATATGCCAGTTGTACTGTCTGCAGTTACTTTGAAGGAGATGTCATTATCTTTGTTTTCCGGCATTTGCTCCATAAATACAGACAATCCTCTGTACGTACACTATAACAGATTGCAAATCCCATTCACAACACTTAAAACTTGTAGTTTAACGTGACATCTGAGGAGAAAGGAAGCATTGATTTGTGTGGGATTGTCTGCAAGAGTAAGTACTTCGCAGTGAGAGCAAGGAGTTTGCAGTAAGGCAAACACATGGATCTTTACTGGTACCTTATTCCTTGAAAAAAATGAAAGTGTGAATGTATGTCCACACTTTTTCATTGTAATACACGCCAAGATGCATTTTGTATTTGGGCTACTACTTTGCAAAATATCTTTTGAGAAGAACCAACTGCTTAATGTTTCTGGACTTGAATTTACCTATAACAACTGGCAAAAAAAAAAAGGAATTGTCAAATGCTTATTTGCCTTGTATTTATATTTGTATTGAGCAGGGAAATTGTTGTGGTTCTCTGTTTTCTCCTGTTAAAAGGCTCAGTGTCAAGTTGTTTATTATGTTGCCAAACTTAAAACAAAACCCCTGCAGTGTGATCTCAAACATGTCCGTTTTAAAACATCGAGACAGAAGCTGTGACTTTTTTTCATGCCTTTAATTCAGCCGAATTACTAGCAATTCCTGTATAGGTTCTGAAGATCAGTTGATAGTTTCTTCTAAGTAGTTAACTTCCATTGCACATTACTTCCCCTCGCTCCATCTAGCATTGACGATACTGTCCGTGTCCCAGTTGGGCTAAGCAAGTGAGCCGATCCCATCAGTTGTGGCCCGGCAATATTCCCTGTAACAGCTCTTTGAAAGTAGGGCATCTTCAGGAGTAAAAGCTGTATGTAGTAATTTTTTTTTTTTTTTTTTTTTTTGCTTGCTTGAATTGAATGACCCCTTACAGGTCTTCAGGCAGGAAGCAGCTGTCCAGTTTGACTGTAGAGGAGATTTTAAAAAAAAAAAAAAAAAGTCTGAGGGGAAGGTGAGTAGACTCAAGCAAGAGCCTGATGTGATTGTGAGGACTGACGCTAATGTCACAGAAAGAAGCGACTAGACCTGGGGACCTTCTCTTTGTGACGTAGAGAAGACGGCTAGAACTGGCTGGAGGAGGAGACGTAAGCTGGAAAGAGCCTTTATGAAATGGAGCATGGGCTGTTTCCGCAAGTAAAGTGGGGCAGTGGAGACCCTGACCTGGAATGGGGATCGGAGTAGGCAAGGGCAGGCAAGAGGGAACGGGACTGAGTTTAAATGTGGAAGCAGTGAAAATAGTTGCTGTTAAAACATTTCCAGTCTGGGATAGATCTGGAGATTCTCACCGTTCCTTCTAAGGGGAAGTAGCCAAAATCCTCTGGCAAAGTGTGTCAGCCCTCAAAGGGTGGCGTGGCAGCCTGCTTTTCTGACGGTTACCTCCAGGCTGGGGTGTTGGGTCTGCACAATAAGCCAAAGAGTTCCAGTCTTGCTGCTATCCCACCAGAAAGGTGGTCGGCTCAGGTGCTGTGGGGGTGGTCCTCCCCTTTTCTGTTAGGTTTTGGGTTTTGTTTTCCCGAGTTCTGAAGGAGATGCATGTCAAAATCTCTAAAACTGCTCCAAAGTTGAGCAATATAAAAATTAAGGTTGCGTATAGGTCAATAATTCAGCATGGTAAGGTCTGGGTTTTGACAGAGTTATTTTGTGGTGCACCTCCTGTAAATCGGTTTTACTGCAGAATGGTCGAGCTAACTTTAGAAACATATGGGCCTCCCAACATTTTTTAACATCTTTAGAAAAGCAGTGGAAAGAACAAAAGGATAAACTTAATGTGCATGTTATAGGTATATATTTTGACAAGTTTGACTTATTTTGAAGACTGTCCCAAAAGTAACAGATATGTCCACTTAGGTAGATGTGTATGGGTTAAATCTGTCAGATTACATTTTGCTTTCCAACATTTTAATGAGGTGGGGGAAAAAACAGTTTTAGAACTCTGAAAGCCTTTTGTTGCAATGGCAGGGTGGAAATGGACAATGATTTGAAACTTTTGTCTGTCTTTAAACTGCGCAGGACACCTCAAATTCTGTTCCACAGACTGTGCTATCAGCTCATTGTGGAAATAGATTTGAATGAATATTAACATCTACTGTAGTTTTATTCAGTACAAAATTCCTGCTTGCTCTGTGGCCAACAACCAAAAACATGCTTGGTATGAAGTTTCAAAAAGTGTTCTTTTTGAAAACAAATCCTAATATTTAATTAGGTGGAGTTGATGTCTTGCTGTTTTAATCATTATTGTTTGGCTTAGATTTGAGTTTTTCTCCTGTTTAGAAATTTGCAACAAACATTTGAAAGATAAGTAAGAATCTCTACCAGCGATCAAAGACTTGAAACGCGTGCTGGTCATCCGTCATGAGTCAATAAACCGCGATGCCCAGATCGTGTCATTCAGCCTCTGAGAATGGTTTGGTATTTTAGCACAGCTGCCAGAAGGAAATTCAATGCTAGATTCAATGCTAGAATAAGAGAGATGGGGACTTAAGACAAAATTTATCACCTTAACGAGTTATTTTGATGCTGTTTAATACTGTGACCTTGAGATGCACGCATTGGCAAACAGCAGTTTCCATTTTGTCAGGTGTTGGCATAACGTTTTACAGTATCGGTTCTGTATGAACTCCAGTGTTACAGGCTCCTGCCTGCGTTTTAACAGCTTGATACGTGATTTTTATTCTTAGAGCTGTGTATGAAAAGTGTATGAAATAGTGGAAATAATGCCCATTTTGTCATTGTTCTTTTGGCTCTTAACTGCTGTGATACAGCCTCGGGGACTAACAGGCTTGTATTTGTGCTTTGTAAGGCATTCAAAATGTTGATGATGAATCTTGAGAAAGACTTAAAAAGGGAAAATATTCCAGAAGATTAGAGCTGAGGTATCAAAGCGTATCCAAAATTCATGAGAACTTTTCATGGAGAACATAAATCTCATTTAGTTTGTCTACGTTACAGCTAAAAAAAACTTTCTGAGGAAACTGAGATTTTAAAGCTTATTAATTTAAAGTTGTCTTTCTGAGAATATATATAGTATTTGTCTGAACAGGGTTATCTCTGTGATCCCTTGGACGGAACAGGTTTTCATATGCAAGCACTGCTTTGTGAACAGAGCAGGGCAGATTTAAAAAATAAATTTAAAAAAAAAAAAAGGCAGCCTAGCTGAGAAAGAGAAAGCATAGCTGTAAATACAGTAAAAATGTTAATTTAGAAAGTTCAGAGATGGAGATCATGCTTTTCTGTTGCATATAAATACTAGAATAATTTGACTTAAAAATATGAGACTAGAAGCTGGGATCTTGATTCTGTGCATGGAAAAAATGTTTAGATATCTCCCTGGAAGGCCCTGTTAAAACAACAGTATATACTGAAGTAACAGAAAAATAATCTTGTTTCGCAGTTTGTCCTTTTCAGCTACATATTCCTTACACGATTGTTTAAATGCTGAATAATTTAGTACTTCATTTTTGCTAAATCCTCCGATGGGGTGCTACGTGTCTAAATAGCCAGACTGATTGATTATGATCTCAGTGGTGTCTTTAAAACAAAAAAGCTTTTGAAGATATTTTATTTAGTAGAGCTGAAATTTAATATTTTCTTGCCAGCTTTTATATTCTGAAAGTGTCTTTTTTGTGACCTCCTATTTCCATAGCTTTTGGCTATTGTGTGGCTTCATATTTTAGCAAGTTTAAATATTTTTTAATCCTTTTGCTTTTCTTAAGATGTTTACCAAAGGAACACAGGTTTAAATTGGCCCCATCTATGCTGTGGACTGTGCTAACTACAGACCCCCCAAACGTGCCTTAATTGAGCCGCTTAACCTCCTTGTAAACTTCTCTTGGATTTTAACGGGGAATAAGATTTCGGAAAAGTGAGCGTGGCCAAAGTTTGTGCCAAATGTAACGGCTGCAACGACAACGTGAAATGGTGTTTAACATCGAGGTTAGATAAAAAGAGCAGGGTTATAATTTTCTTCTTGATTTAGTTCCAACATCCCTACCTTAGCTGCTCAGGAGAACAAAAGGCAATTTAATGTGGCTTAAGATACCAGTCAGCTCTAATTTCTTTTTGATTGTTTCTCTTTAATCATCTGCTTCGTCATTTGATTTTTATATGTTGCGGGGACATAGTTGAGCAGTCAGCTAATGCCTGTGGTAGCTGTGTGCACCCTCTCTCTGTAATGGGATATTCTGGGACCATTTACTAAAGGCAGCGCTCGGATGAGAACCTGATGTCTTCCCTCAAGACTGCTCTGTGATCTGGCGGCCACAGTTCAAGATCAAGGCGTTTCCTTGATAGTGCTTTGTCCAACCCACACGTTACTTTACCCATCAGTTTGTCATGCTCCTGGGAACCTCTCGTTCCGGGTTGTTTTTTTTAATGGGATGTTTCAAGTTCATTGAGTCAGTGGGTCATAGTTGTAGACTGAGTTTTTTGAATCCTGTTTGTGTTACAATCCAAGGGCACGGGTAACTCCCGTTTTCAGCTTGCATTGATTTCAGACAGTCCATCGAGATAGAGCTGTAACTTCTACACAATTACGCAATGCTCAAAAAAAAATAAAGAGTAAATGCAAATCCCTCAATTTCACACTTAATTAAAATTACTAGAAGGTACTTAACAAGGAGCACTATATCTAATTTGATTTCTCTCACTGATCTGCGGCCAGGGCAGCGTTGTACAGAGTCTGCATGATTTGGGGCTCACCCTGCTAGCAGGGATCTGCGAAGGTGATGTTGGCTCAGAGAAGCGGAGCTACTAAGGGTGAGTCAATGCTGTCTTCATCAGGACTGCCGACACAGCCCCGGGGGAGGACATCCGATTGCAGCAACCTCTCTGGTGGAGTGGCCTGAGGAGCCCTGCTCATTTTAAAAAAAGAAAAAAACAAAAAAAACCAAAACCAAACCAACCAACCAACCAAAAAAACCTCCACAAAAACAAAAGTGAGGAATGGCCTTTCTGAAACTGCTACCTGGTTTTGTAGCAGTGTTGAGAGAGTAACAGCTCATGGTGGTGTGAGCCAATTCTCTGGTGCAGTTTTGCACATTTCAAATAAGGGAAGATACCTGGAGGGTGATGCTGCTGTCTTCAAAATGGACAGTCCCTCTAGCCAGGTGATATTTAAACAGGGGGCCATTGGTGTATTGCATGATCAGATGCACATTTCTCTCTGTTTAATCTTTGAGCTTGTGAGACCTTTCTCCAAAGGTCACAAAGCGTAAATCTAAATGTGACCAACAAGTTCACAAAGGTTTTAGCAACAGGGAATTTTGTCTTGGTATTTTTACGATGCCTGGAATAGCTGGGTCTCTTGCACTCTGTATTACCACCAAAAAAATCAAATTAATGAATCAGAATTCAAAAGCCTGAATGGTTGCAAATGTTTTTTCACTGCTCAGATCTTTGCTGTCCTGGTATGACAGACTTTGGAGGGAAAACAAGCTGTGCTGTAAATTGAGGGATGTACATGCATTCTGGTTTTAGCCAGAAATCTGTGCTGAAGCCCAAGATCCCCATCTCGATTTTAAGATGGTGAAAAGTGGGTGGGACAAAAGGCCCTGCAGGTCTGAACTCCTCCTGGCCAAGATCAGGACTTAAAAAAAAAAAAAAAATTATGTATATTTATCTATCTTTCTTGCTACTGTATGGTTCTTTCCATCTTTGCTGGGTATGGAAACCATAACTGTAATCTTCTGGCAAGAACCACGTTTCATCTACAATTTATGCTCTGGTCTAAAAATGAGGAAAAGGAACAACAAGGATTGCTGCAACTTGGCACTTAGAGTTTTTGTCCACCTCCTTCCTAATGCAGTTTGTCATGGCCAACACTGAATGGCAGATCTTAAGAGCAGGTTCCAGCTGAGATTTCTAGGTATAATTTAGAGGCATATCACTACCTGGGTGGCAGCCCTTTGGAAGCCATGGAGACCTTACTGCCTTTGCAGGTATCTTCAGATGTCTTCAACAAGTCCTAACAGACCTTCTCAGCTCACAGGTCTCTCTTAGAAGCTTTGAAACTTAATTACGTCTTAATTTGAAAAAATCACTTGTGAAGAGATACTCTCTCATCCAAGTAAAGCTGTATAAGGCTGTATAGTGAGTGTAGTGTGTCTGCATAGCTGGTTGGCACTAGAAGTTTCTTTTGGAGAAAAGCACTGCTGTTCCGACTAGGTATGTGTGTCCTCAATTTCTCCTTCATCGGGTTATTCTTAGTAGGTAAAAATTATAACCGTTTTATTCTAAATGTCTGTGTTCAAAAGTGGTTAAAAAGAGACCGTGAAGGGATTGGGTGTTGAGCACGTCTCTGTCTTCCTCTTTCCTCTCCTCCATTTGTCGTCTCAAGCACTAGTGCCGTTGGGCAAAGGCTTCTCCACCTTGAGTGAATGTGGACCATCGGCTGTGATGGTGACAAAGAGTTTGTCAAGAATTTACAGATGAGGGTTTCCAAAACCACTTTCTGCTTCTGATGAAATAAAAGCTTCACTGGTACAGGCTGTCACTCTGTGTCTTTGTCATGGTTTAACCTCAGCCGGCAACTAAGCGCCACGCAGCCGCTCGCTCACTCCCCCCAAGTGGGATGGGGGAGAGAATCGGAAGGGTAAAAGTGAGAAAACTCGTGGGTTGAGATAAAGACAGTTTAACAGGTAAAGCAAAAGCCGCGCATGCAAGCAAAGCAAAACAAGGAATTCATTCACTCCTTCCCATGGGCAGGCAGGTGTTCAGCCATCTCCAGGAAAGCAGGGCTCCATCACGCCTAACGGTTACTTGGGAAGACAAACGCCATCACTCTGAACGTCCCTCCCTCCTTCTTCTTCCCCCAGTTTATATACTGAGCATGACATCACATGGTGCACCTGCAGCCTTCTCAGTCGGTAGAGCATGGGAAGCTGGAAAGTCCTTGACTGGTGTAAGCACTACCTAGCAACAACTAAAACATTGTTATGTTATCAACATTGTTCTCACCCTAAATCCAAAGCACAGCACTGTACCAGCTACTAGGAATTAACTCCGTCCCTGCCGAAACCAGGACAGTCTTAAACCTGTATGCTCCATTATAGCATTACAAAATGTACTCTACTCCACCTGCATTCAAATACGTTCTAGCATGCTGCTCATCTCGGCGGTAGTCTGTAGAGATTCTATACAAATACTGAGTCATCCATGGTACAGGATACTTAGTAACTCCTCTGTTCTTTTTTGGTTTAAAGTTTGTGCTGGTTTTGTCATCCTTTCATTGTTACCTTCTTTTATTATGTTCATTTATTCCGAAGATAAACTAGCCTTTCTTGAGGACAGAGTTAATATTAGGTGAAACACTATTATGCAGTGATTAATGGAGGCCTAGGTGCAGTTAGCAATTACTTAAAATGGGCTGGATTTCCTAATTATTACTTTGTTCTGTACAAATTTATTTTGCAGACAACTTGTTATATTGAATTCTTCTTGGATAATGAATTTGTGAAACATTTCCAGCATCCCCCTGAGGCAGTAGCAGAAATTGCCTCCTCACTGACCACGTATGATAACTAGCTAAGATGGATAGGATCTTGCACGGACCCTGCACACTTGAAAGGCCTGCACAATTCCTAGCTTCGGGGGGGGGGGGGAA